GAGAGAGAGAGAGAGAGAGAGAGAGAGAGAGAGAGAGAGAGAGAGAGAGAGAGAATGTGTCCAAATGTATGCATATGACACTCCTCGCAGAGCTCCTTCCCGAAGATGGAGTTCACACACCGCTATACTGGCCAGAACAACCACCAGTGGCAATTCCATTCCAGGATCAAAGCCCTGCTTTTTTTAACTGGGCCTGGGGATGGGTCCCAGGTGGGTGAGGGGAGCAGACACGGCATACGAGTGACCCAAAGGGTGACTTTCACAGGGTTCATGTCTCCTCCTCCTCAGAGTCCTTGGCAGTAAGGACTGCCAAAGAGTCCTCCCCAGAGAGGGAGCTGTCCCTGTGCCACCCCTCAGCAATGACAGGGTGGGTGTGACTGCTACCCCAGGGTTGTAGGGGCGGCTTTCCCACTGCTTCTGTCCTTGAAGGGAGGCGCAGAGGCAGGATCGGCAGGGGCCAGTGTCCTCCTGAGACTTCTGCCCTGCACGGCTGGCTCTGGGGCCACCTGGAGTTTTACTGAGAGCATTAGGGCTCCTGACCAGACTTGGGAGAACTGAGCTGGGTGGGAATGGGGGGGCTTCCTTCATGCCCCAAGACTGGATCAGGTGCCCTTACAACTTATCCTAGTGTAGCACATACCATAGTGGGCTGAAGTGCTTTTTGCTGCTGTCCTCCCTGACTTATTCATGAGCACTGAGGCAGAGACTGTGTATTGTGTGTCCCCTCTGCCCCACACCGAACCACATTCCCTCTTGGACTTTCCTGATAGGTCACAAGGCTCTGTGTTAGCCCTCTCTTCTTCTCTGCATACTATACACCCCCTGGTTGAAAGATCTCATCCTTTCCTGTGGCTTCTCTTACCCTTTCTGTGCTGACACATTCCTCAATCTCTGCTTCCAGTCCAGATCTGTCCGGCGCTCTAGACTTCTCCAACTGATGGCCGGCCTCTTAGACACCTCCACCAGGTCATCCTATAGGAATCTCATTTTCAGCAATTTCAAACTCAGCTCCTCTCTTCCTCACCAATCAGCTGCTTGTCCTCCTGGGTTCCCTGCCTCAGCTGAAGGCAGCAGCAGCCATCCAGTCACCCAGGCCAGAAATCCTGCAGCTGGCCGCCCTCGGGCCCTCCGTCTCCCCTCACATTCAATCCCTGAGTCCTCCACAGTCGGCCTTCTGGGAGTTCTGGCCAGCCTAAGGCCCTGCTTTAGAGCAGGCGTCCCCACATCTAGCCTGGATACTTCAACAGCCTCCTTGCTGCTCCCCCTCTTCTTTCCAGTCCACTCTCTCACGGTTGTCTATAAAGTGAGAATCTGGCCATGTTTCTCTCTTGCTTAAAGTCTTTCAAGGCTCCTTATGATCTAACAAGTAAATCCACACTCCTTCGCCTGGGATCGTAATTGGTCCCTGCCAACCTTACCCACTCACCTCCACTGTTCTGCTCTCACTTCCCTTTTGCAGTTGCACGGTGCTGAGCAGCTAGAGTTCCCTGGACAGACCAGGATGCCTCATGCCCCTGTGCTTTTGCACAGTAGGTGTCTGCTGCCGGCCCTTCTCCACTCTGTTCACCTAGAACCTCCTCAGTTATCCTTGGAAGTTATGCTGAATTACTGTTGAATTAAGTTACTCAACAGAGCATCTCCCTTGATTTTGTGTGCTCTGGGAGTGGAGTAAGACAAGGTCCCTGTCCAAAAGAAGCCCATAAGCATAAATCTAAGTACTCTCGGATGGCAACTTTGGTCGATGGAACCAAGGGCATAGACTTCAGAAATGGCAGTAGGCTGGCGGAAGCTGTAGGAAGGTAGTCAGTGGAGTGACCGCAGGAGGGGAGGGGTAGACAGGGCTTATATGGAGGTGGTAACAACTTGGAGGTGGAGCTTGTTGTATCTCAGTCAGTAGCTGCCTTCCCTCTTTCTGGGCCAAGAAGGCCATCAGAGGTACCTCTGCAGAGATGTCAGAAGCTGCTGTGCCCACGAACCCTGAGCTGGGGGCCCTCCCTTCCCGTGAAGGCTTCCCTGCAGATCTACCTCTTTCTTCTGGCCCTAGCTGCGTGGTAGTTATTATTGAAGCTGCAGGCTCTACACTGGACTGCCTGGGCTCCCATCCTGGACTCCCTCTTGCCAGCTGCATGCCCATAAGCCAATCACTTCTCTCACTTTACTTCAGTTTTCTCCTCTTACACAGAGGCAGTAACAATAACCACCTTCACAGGGATGGTGGGAGGATTCAATGAACTGATACAAGTTAATGTTTTAGAACAGTGCCTGGCTCATAAAATCAAAAATATCAACTATTATCATGTCTCCTTTCCATCCATCTACTAGACAGGGAGCTCCCAGGGAGCAGGACTGGGTCTGGTCCATAGCTGTGTACCTGAATCCCATCAAGAGACTGGAACGAGGTGCGAGGTCTCAGAGCACAGGTATGGGTAACTGAATATGTGACCTTTGAAGGACAGGCCTTCATTCCTCAGTGGCTGGTCTGGGGACAGGGAAAAGCTGGGAAGCTAAGAAGACAGCAATAAAACTGGGGCAGGGACAAGGATGCTGGGCCAGGTGGGGAAGATGATGGGCAGCTGTGGGTATATCTAGATCTGGGTCTTCCTAGCTTGGTACCTGGTGTGCTATTTGGTCCAGGAAAAGTCCCTTCCTGCACTTCATTGAGTACACTTGTGACATGGGACGCAAAACCCCTTCCTGTTGTCCCAGGGCTGTAGGGGGCTAAATGGAAAGGTAGGCTGGACTCCGTCTGGGCATGTGTTGGCTAATATAGCTCCTGTACGGGAGCAGAAGAGAAGCCTCATGCCCAGTTCTGCAGGGCCCCTAAAGGAGGTCAACCCCTCCTACGATCATAAGTCTCTCTCCTCTGCATGAGGTAAGGAGTGGTACAGAGAGGGAGAACTGGGACTCTGGAATCAAATGTATCTGTGGCCCAAACGTGGTTCCTCTGCGCAGTAGCTCCATGCCATGGGCAAGACATTTATAACCTCTCTGAACCTGTTTCTTCTTCTGTAAAAAACGAGAGTTTCTACTCTGCCTGCTATTATGATAGTTGGCAATGGTGTCTTCAGCCTAGTACACAGAATGCGCTGAAAAAGAAAGGAGTTTTTTTCATTTAGAGCTCACCCCACCAGGAGACTGTCTAGTTTGTGATGAGCCTGGAGCTCCTTGGAAGAAAAGGGCTCCATGAGCCAGGAAGGTTCTTGGAGCTTATCTTGGATCCAGCCTCCTTGTTTGTCACATGAGGCCCCTGGTGCCTAGAGATGGAGCAGAGTTGAAACTAAAAATTCAGGTGTGTCCTGGCACCTCTGCTCTGTGTCTCTCTAGAAGGCAGCCTGGGCAGCCACAAAATTTCAACTCTTGGGTAGTGCTGGTTTGTCCTCAAGTGCCCAGCCTCGACCCTGATCCAGAAAGGGGGCAAAGCCACATCTGCTAGGTGACCGAATGCACACATGTGGAAGTGGCAAGTGAAGGAGGGATCAGACAGGCCTCTGAGCCCTTGATTCTTAATGTTCATAGCTCACCATACCCCCAGATGTCCCCTACTCCATCCTAGCCCAAAGTGACTTTCACCTCATCAAACAGCTGCAGCATGATGGTGAGCACATCTGGATGGGCCTTGTCCACCTCGTCGAAGAGCACCACAGCATTGGGACACTGCTTCAGCTTCTTGGTCAGCTGGCCACCCTCCTCGTGGCCAATGTAGCCTGGTGGGGATCCAATAAACTTGGCCACCTGGAAGAAGGAAGGAAATATACTGGGAAGGCCTTTCTATACTTTTAGTTTCTGATATGGGTATGCACAGGAAAATGGCTTCATTCATTAGTAGTGCCTGTCTTAACAAGGACAGTCGGACTTTTTTCTGGGGTGGTAGGAATCCTGCTGCGATGGAAGAGGCTACAGATCTTCTCTAGGTTTCTTCTTCAGAGCAAGTCCTATGCAAAACAGATCAGTGACCCTCTTGCACCCATATGCCCCCAAAGGATGAATCCCAAGGCTGCTGGAATTATCTCAGGTCCAAAAGACAAGTCACAACAAAACACCCAGGCAGAGTCATGTTGACTTACAGGCCCTCCAAACCACACTTCAGCGAGGACTCTCACTTACCTCATGCCGCTCTTGAAACTCAGACATGTCCAGCCTGATGAAGCCCTGTGTGGAAACAAGCAGGAATCCACTTGGAGGCAGGAAGGTATAGAGGGAACGGTTAAGAAGGAGAGCATCTCAAATATCCCTTAGGCTTTCAGACCACACCAGTGCAAGATCTTCTATTCCATTCTCATATATTTTTTTGTCTCCTGGCCTCCTTTTCTGTCTACTCATCTCCCGCATGATTCCCTCATTCCCTACCTTAATAAACCCAAGTCATGTCCCTGCTCTTCTAAATCTGGCTCAGAATGTCTCTTTTTTCAGGCTTCTACTGGTCTGATTACCATGTCAGGATGGTGAGGGCATCCTGTGTGTGCTGGAGCCACAGCAGCGAACAAGTCTTGGTCTCCATCCTTGAGGAGAACCCCTCAAGTGGGGCAGGTAGACATGGACAGATTCAGTTACAGTCAGTGTGGACCATGATGAGAAGGAAGGGTGTCACAAATACCCAGCCAGCTCCATGGTGCCCTCAGCTTTGCAGGTCTTTGTGGGTACATGCCTCTTTGTTTTAGATTATGTTTCTTTTGTGCTAAGAAATATTTTATTTATTTATTTAAAAATTTTTTTTAAAAAGATTTTACTTATTTATTTGACAGAGAGAGACATAGCGAGAGAGGAAACACAAGCAGAGGGACTGGTAGAGGGAGAAGCAGGCTCCCCACGGAGCAGGGAGTCCGATGCGGGGCTCGATCCCAGGACCCTGGGATCATGACCTGAGCCGAAGGCAGACGCTTAACAACTGAGCCACCCAGGCACCCCTCTTTTGTGCTAAGAAATCTTTTAATTTATTTACATTTCTTCATTTCACTTAAAAGCTATCCATAAGGCAGCTTGTAGCCCACCTCTCTCCACCACTGGGTCTAGGAGTGATCTGCAGGGAACTGGTCCTTTGGCGTGAGGTTCAACCATGATTAGCCCCAGGGAAAGGGTATGTGTGCGTATATGTAGTAGGGGGGTTGCGAGTTAACACAAGCAGTGTTCACTTTTTTATGACGAATTTAGGGATTTATATTCCCAGGTGCCCTGTCCCTCCACCCAGACCAGGGTTCCCCAGGCTCCTTTCCCACTGGCACACATTTCCACCTCAGACAGTGCACTCACTGAATGTACTTCTTCTGAGAGCTGGGGATGACAGGGCGCCAGGACCCTAGAGAGAGGTAGCTATCTCTGTCTGAAATTCCAGCCACGTTCTAGCACGGCTGCTGGTCAGAAATGTAGTTTTTCTGTGTCACTCTGTACCCGAGGTACAGGGCAGCAGAAGAGCTCTGGCAGGGAACTGGCTTCCAGTCCGTCTGGCCACTGTCTGCGTGGCGTAGGGCATGCTGCCTCCCCTTTTGGAGCTGCAGTTCCTTCCTATGGAGCACAGGCCCTTGTTTCCTCTCCCTGCCTCCCCAGGGTCCTGAGAGCACCTAATCCAAGAGGTAGGTAAGGACTTGGAGCAGTATTAAGGCCAGGTGGAGGTTATCGCTGCGATCAGAGAACATGGGCATCAGCCAGCAAGCATTTTCAGGTCCTAGGCAGCTCAGCCAAGATAAACACAGGCTTGAGGAAGAACGGGAGGATGGACATGAGGAAGCTGGGCATGCTTCCCAGAGGGAGCAATGCCCTGGAAGCCATGAGATGGGTACCTAATGATAAGAGCTGACAGTCCCTAGATGCTTATTAAGTGCCTGGCAATGTTCTAAACAAGCTATACAAAGCTCAGAACACGTACAAGTCTATGAGGTAAGTATTATTATCATTTCTAACCTTCCAGATAAGAAAACTGAGTCACAGATTAAAGTAACTTGCCCAAGGTCCCTCAGGTTTGACAATTTAGCTCCAAGTCTGCTTTTAGCCACTAAACTCTACTGCCTCATATTTCCTGCTCTGTCAATCAGTTCTTGGCAATCTTCACCTGTAAGTTTTGAGCTTTGTGCCCCGATGTGAAGTGTCCCAGGACACCGGAAGTATAGACTTTAATGATCACTTACGTCAAGTGATATGGGTTCTCATCCTAGTTCTTCTACTGATTTGCTGAGTAACTTTGAAAAAGTTTTAGGGCTTGATTTTCGTGGCTGGAATACTTTTGGTTTCACATGATCTTAACTTAGGGTTATCTAGAAGTGAGGCAACAATTATGATAGTAATATCCAATATGTACTGATTGTTTACTATGCGTGAACGGTGTTTAGCAGTTTACATACCTCCTTTAACCTTCATAATAATCCAATGAGAAAGGCACCATAATTGAACCCATTTTACAGATGAAAAAACAGATGTGAACAGAGATCCCAGCCAACTCCAGAGTAGTTTAGAGTTGGGGTTTGAACCCAGGCAAGGGGACTCAGACCCTTGCTTCCGATCCCTCTGTCACAATGCCATGCTAACTGCGGTCTTCAGGGTGCTACCACCCTACCTCAGGAGACGATCACAGAGCCCCATTAAGGTTCTTTTTCAAGGATTATTAACCCTAATAATGGAAGTTAACAAAACTGCTCAAATTTGGGAGAAAGAGCAGAGGCTAATGACAGAAAAAAATAAGCCAAAGATCTGATAAAGAAATTATACAAATGTGCAAATGAGACCTTGCGAGGCAGCCAGGTCCAGAGGCATTAGTGACCTTTCACAAATGAGGCAACTAAGGATCTGAGAGCCAGAACTTAAATCCAAGCCACCAAGTCCCTGGCCAGTGTCACTGAGTGTCAGTGTTATTGAGCCAGAGCTACTGCACAGTTCCTCTCCAGCTCCTGTGACATGGCACTTTCTGTACATCGTTCCTTGGGTCCTGCTAGTGTCGGGTACAGTCCAGGACTCTCAGGTTTTGAAGGCAGGTCTCACACTTGCCTGTTACATGGCCAGAAAATGTCTATGCTAAACACAGACTCTGCACGGAGCTGGTACAAGAAGGAGTTTTATAGAGGCACCACCTAGGATTTAAAAATTAAATACACAGATGGTTGTACTGGGTTTCTCATGCTTCACATCTCCCATTTTTAAACGGGAACAAATTGACAAGTTTACAATTTAGCCTCCTACTGCAGCTAGGACAATGGCATTGAAAGGAAAGTTGAGAGACTGGATTCTGATTTTACTTCTTCCCCTCACAAGTGACCCTGGACGGGCCCGCCCCTACATGCTATAAGGTCTCAGTCTTCTCATCGGAAAAGTGGGTATAATTCAGCATCTATGCTATCTTCTTCATGGGGTCAAACAAGACGGTCGATGGGGTGGTACCATGGAAAGTACGAGCTGATGAATAAATAGGACATCAGGGCTCAGGCGCTGACTTAAGTGTGCCAGAGCCTGAGCTCACTGTGACTCAGTATCTTGCTGCAAGATCACGACAACTTTCGACACAGGGCTGGACAGCTGCATTTTGAGGTGAGAGAGCTGAAACTTGGAGGAGTCAAGCAACCTGCCTAAGGCCAGGAGAAAGTAGAACTGGAGCCTGTGCTGAGGAATGGCTGGCTCCAGGGCACTGACCGCCAGCCCACCTCCTCCGAGGGGTGATGGCGTATTGCAGGATGCCATCCCCATGCTTGCAGGAGCCCCTGCACTGGTGTCAGTCGGACCCTTGTTCAGATGCACCAACTGAAAATGACCTGCATCATCAGTCTCTTAGCAAGCCCCGTCTCCTTTCTACACCAGCAAGTCAGCTGGTGCTTTCCTTCTTCTTCCACTGTGTATGAAGACATATTAAGACAGCTTGGATAAGGAGATTATAATTTGTAATTAAATATTAACCTTTGACAGTATTAAAATTAAACCACTCAGAATTCTTCATCCCTAATCAGGTGGTTCCTGCCCGTAACTGTATCTTCCCTAATAGTCTTGCTAGTTTATGGCTCTTTCCAGAGTGCTAATTGTTTCAATCGCTGCCAACCTGATGAATTGTCTTAAAAATGCTATTTCAGTTGCAGCATATTAGCATGCCATGTGCTGCTTCTTGCCTACTGCCTGTCAAGTGGGTCTGCTCTGGGCTAGGCTGAGGCAGAGCACAGCTACTGGCAGAGCCAGGGAGGCTTTGGAGCCTTTAGCCAGTTATCAGGCAGAAGGGGGCTGGATGTGGCTCAGAAGGACACAGCCTGAGCGACCTATGTTGTTTCTGTGGCTGCCAGGCCCTCAGGGAGGAGGCAAAGGGGCAGTGAGGCCAGAAGCCGGATGGAAGGTGGCTAAGACTCTGCTGCTGGGGCAGTTTTGGCTGACAGAGGCCTGAGTTAATTCCTCACTGCCTCAGCTGGGGAGGCCTTCCACAGAAATTAGACAAGGGCATCTGGGGTCACAGGCAACCTCAGGTGGTGGGCAGGGGTACCTTAGCCTCCACAGGGAAAGGCTGGTGGAATAATGTTTGGCGTTAGTTGAAATGTTTCTGCAATCTTCAATTGGATGGCTCTGACATTTCACTCTATAGAAAAATACTTCCAGTCACTCCAGAAAGTCAAATTAAGTAGGCCTGGAGAGCCTGAAAAAATATGGGATAGGGACAGGTCTCTCTTGTGGTGAGTCCAAAGGCTCCGAAGTCAGAAGAAAAAGGGGACTGTGACCACTCCACAGCTTAGGGCCTAAGAAATCACGTTTAAAAGCTCATCTACACATCAAAAACTAATGATGTAATATATGGTGATTAACATAACAATAAAAAAATTAAAAAAAAAAAAAAAGCTCATCTACAGGGGCACCTGGGTAGCTCAGTCAGTTAAGCGTCTGCCTTCGGCTCAGGTCATGATCCCAGGGTCCTGGGTTTGAGCCCCTCATCAGGCTTCCTGCTCAGTGGGGAGCCTGCTTCTCCCTCTCCCACTACCCCTGCTTGTGTTCCCTCTCTTGCTGTGTCTCTGTCAAATAAATAAAATCTTAAAAATAAATAAATAAATAAAAGCTCATATACAGGGGCGCCGGGGTGGCTCAGTTGGTTAAGCAGCTGCCTTTGGCTCAGGTCATGATCCCAGAGGCCTGGGATCGCGTCCCGCATTGGGCTCCCTGCTCAGCAGGGAGCCTGCTTCTCCCTCTGCCTGCTGCTCCCCCTGCTTGCACTCTCTGTCAAATAAAGAAAATCTTAAAAATATATATATAAAAGCTCATATACAATGGAGAGAAGCAATAGGGCATCTTGTCATTCCTACTTGTTTTCTACAGGCCCTAAGACTCTCTCTGGCATGGCCTTGATGTACAAGACAGTAATAATATGTTTCTAAAGCTGTTTCCCTTTCTAGCCTGAATTCCTCAGGGCAGGGAGAGTGTACTAAATGTTGAGTTATCAGGATCTAGTACAATACCTGGCCAGAGTAGATGCCTGAAAATGCATGGATGAATCTCATTGGGTTCTCCCAAATGGCCCAGCAGTCAGGCAGGGCAAGGATTATTTTTCCTGTTTCATAAATGAATAAACTGAGGTGAAAGGAGGTTGGATAACTTGCCCAAATTCCTGGAACAACTGGTGGCCAAGCTGGGGCCAGATTGAGGCCTGCTTTCTGGATCAGGGTCCATCTTTTTGAATCACTATTGCCAGATTCAGGGAGCCTAGAATTTTGGGGGCTAGCAGTAGTGGCGAGGTCTCCATGGCCTGCACATCAGGCCTACATCCCAGCCCTTACCTTTTTGGCATCTTTGTGCATATATTTGGCTGTCTGCTTGGCCAGCTCTGTTTTTCCTAATAAGAAGGAAAGAAGAGGTGTTGGGTTAGAACCAAATGACTGTCTTCTGGAATTAAAGAATATTAGAAATGCATGGACATTGGAAATAATATATTTTATGGATGGGCTCAGGGAGGGTTGGTGACTCTTCCAGTCACTGGAGGGAGAATTAAAGGTGGAGCTGGAACCAGAATCAAAGTCTGCATTGCATCTTGATTTTTCTGTGGATGGAAACTGAGACTTTTTTTCTAATGGCAGCATCCTAAGAGTGGGAGGTGGACTTTTATAATCCAGAGCCAACTTGTCGTTTGAAGCCCAGTGCAAACCTTGCCTCTGACAGGAGCACCCTGACTTCCTGGTCACTGCACTGAATCTCTTTAGACACTCATGGTCTTGCCATCCAGCCAGGCCCTGGAGCCACCGGCTGAACAGAGGCTGGGAGGGGATTAAGAACACCTCTCCTTGGCCTCATAGCCTTTCTCTGTAACATAAAGAAGGAATGACAATACCAAAGTGGTGGCTCTGAAGGATCATTTGGTATGATGGCCAAACCTTTGGAAGTCACTGTCTAGCAGAGGAAATCAAGTTCTACAGTATCATGGTGAGATGGAGGTAACCTACTTCTGGGGGAGTGCTAGGTCCATGAAGATGCTAAGAGGGAAAGAAGAGACAACAAATGCATGAAACTCCCCATCAGGACAATGGTGGGAGGAGGTGGTGCAGGTGGGGGTTTTGTGAGGGTGGAGAGTAAGGGGGTGAGAATGCCTACGATAATCCAGCCAAACCGACTAGAAAAGTCCCCAACGCATTTGACTGAAACCAATTTTGCGATGCACTCCACACTGTGTTGGCCTTATGAGGGGCTTTCTTTAGCTTCCTAGAAGGTTATGCCCCGAGCTGTACTAAATAAGGTTGGTGTGCTGGGCAATGGAGGTGGTTCAACTGTTCCAAAGGGCAGCTCTGGGGATGCAGAGTAGCCGGACCAGGGCTATCAGACCCCAAAGGGCCTGGTCGTCCAGGTGACGTAGGCCCTGCACCACAGCTTCCAGAGAGAGGGGCATAATTCCAGCTGTTCCTAACGTGACAGATAATCCTTTTGCTAGCTCTGTAATTTGGAGGCGGTTGTTTTCAGAGCTGCAGTTGTATAGAAGTGGATTGTGTGACCCTGGCCCATAGCAGCTAGGGTTCCCCCAGCTCTTCTCCCCCCCCTTGTCAATCTGTTCCCAGTTACCTATTCCAGATGATCCCAAAAAGAGGAAGACCAGAGGGTGTTCTTCATCGTACCAGCCATTCTCCTTCCTCCGGATCGCTAGGGCCAAACACACAAGATTGAGGGGGGCGGTGGACAGGGAGAGAGGCAGATAAATCAATGACACAAAAGGCAGGATAATTATCACTAAGTATACAATATGTTTTACTGCTCTGCGCCCACTCAAAGTCCTCACTACCATTAGTGCTGCCTAATCTGATTAGCTGGCAAGGCCCCTAGAGACACCTAATCAGGTTAGCATGGATTTGGAAAGCTGCCCAGAGCAGATTTCGGATAAAGTTTTCCAGGATGAGCACTCAGCGTTGCCAGGGAAACTGAAAGGCGGGTGGATGGTGAATGGAAGGGTAGGGGGCTGGTGAAGGAGAATTCAAGAGGAACTTTAGCTTTCAGATGGCTGGTTCCCCATCTACTCACTACTGGTGGGAGACTGAGCCTGCCTCCTATGCAAATAGAAGAGACAGAAGCCCATGGCAGGCCCTAAGGGATCTGGGGTGTGAGCTCGGGACTCTCCCATTTGGGGAAACAAAGATCTAGTCCACTGTCTGGAAGTACAGCCAAATGTACTTTCTGGAATCCAGTCAAGGGTAGTGTGGAGCTCAGGGCACAGATGGTGAGCCACTCGGTTAGCACTGCCACTAAGCATGGCCTCCAGTGGGGAGCAGTAGTAGGGGAGTGGGACAGATCTGTACTAGGTTCCCTGGGAGTTCAGCTCTGCTCAAGTGAGACCTCACCGTTCCTCTTCAGGAGGAAGTATATATATAATCAAGGGCTGCGTATTCAAGGTGAGGAAATTAAGTGCCTAACTACGGAGTGGGAGAATCAGGCTCAGAGGCATCACTCAAGCAAAAGAGCAGAGGGAGGAATGAGGCAGAACCATTAGAAGAACAACCATTTATTGAACATGCTATTTGCTGGGCACAACAAAAAAACTGTCAACATTTTTTATTACTCAAGACCCACACAAACATCATGAGAGGGAAAGTATTATTCTCAATTCGATTATACTAAACAGGAAACTGAGGCAAAAGATAAAGAGACTTGCCCAAGTCATATAACTAGATTACTAGTTGACTGGTAGAGATGGTAGAGTCTCTTCTCTCTCTAAACATTTCTCTTTTTTTGCTCATATATGGCTGCTTTAAAAAGTGAGTATCAGTTTGGGTTGCATTAATGGGAACATGGCAGTCAGAAGCGGGAAGGGACAGAGCACTGTGTTATGTCAGGGTTGGTCTGCATGTATGATCTGGTTCTCAGAGTGTCAGGGGGAGATAAACAAAGGGATATATGTCAGAAGACAAGGCCTGGAAAACAAGTCAACTGAGAAAGAGTTGATGGTCTTGGGGAAGTATTGGCCAGTCCTAAGGTACAAAGATCCTAAACGCTATATTGTGTGCTACAATCTGTATGGCTGGGTTCCAGAGAAGTAGCTGCAGAGGTCAGGGATGGCTTTCTGGAAGAAGTGGGACTGATGAAGGATCGTGGAGGCTGGGAAGGATCTGGAGGGAAAAAAGGTGGCCACAATGACACAGGTGGAGAGACAAGAATGAACATGAGTAGTTGTGGGTGGAGTCAGATTATGGTCTCAAATACCTGCCTTAGGACTTCGTGTTGTGGCCTTTCTCACCTCAAACTCAAACGCTGCTACCTAAAGATCTCTCTAGTTCTGGCCTCAGCAGGAACAGATGGAAGGGCAACCTCTTGAGAGACACCCCCTGAGAAAAGTCCAGCCTCTCCCTTGGGCAAGGTCCTAGATCATCTCTAAACTAGCTGACCCAGCCCTATGGAAGGCTTGGCTCTCAGAGGAACCCACCAGCCTCAGAGGTACCTGAAGGCTGGGGATGATGAGGGGTAGTCCAACCCTGGCTGAGATGGGAGTCCCCAGTGCCCCGAGAGAAACAAGAACCCATGGGTGGGGTTTTTGGGGAGGCAGAGATATAAATGGGAAAGGCTGGACTTCTGTGGACACAATATATAGATGTGTGTTGGGGCAGGGGTGAGAGAGGGGTCATCTGAAAGGAAATCACATTCTTCCAAAAGTTGGGGGAACTGAGAAGGTAGGTTGGAAAGAAGCTGAGCATGAACTGGGTTCAGGCTTTGTGGGGTATCTGGGGGAGGCAGAAGTGTCCAGGCATCGGAAAGGTGGCCTAGGGGAAGTGGGGTTCCCCAGGTGTCAGGTACCTGAGGTTCTGATCTTGATTTCTCTTTCAGGAAAGCTTCCCAGCTACTGAGAGCTACACACTGCTGGGCTATGCAGTTCAAAAACACCATGGAGAAGGTGGAATTGGATTATGCCTGGGGCCATCTTTCCCCCTTCTTTTCTAATAATGCACCTGGGAGAGAGCTCTTTATAATGCCAGGCAGACTCCACTGCACAGCTGTCCCTGGCCAATTCTGCCAGACCCGGGGCATGAGTCTGGGGTGGGTTTGATCTGGCCCCCAGTGAAACAGGCGAAATGCCAACCATTAAACAATTACAACTCGGGATATTTCTAATAATATCTGAAGAGAAAAACGACCAAGCAGATGGAGTCCGACAGAATGAAAAATGGAAGCAGCTAGGAAAGACTGAGGAAGGCAGGCCCCCAGGGTGTGTGGCTGCCAGGGTGGCTGATGACCACGGCTGGGAACCTTGAGGGTTCTGTCAGGCTGGGGCAGAGACACTGATGGGCCACTGGAGACGTGGCCATAGGTACTGATGTCTCACTGTGGACCAGCCAATGCAGCAACTTACTCTGCTAGACTTTTCAGTCTATTAAAAACTTCCATATACATAACTTCATTTGAGCCTCATTATGAATCTACAAAGCTGGCAGGGCAGGGAATTTGATTCCCTTCTTCTTCTTTCTTTTTTTTTTTTTTTTAAGTTTATTTAGTTTTTAGTAATCTCTACACCCAATGTGGGGCTCGAACTCACAACCCTGAGATCAAGAGTTGCATGCTCTTCTGATTCAGCCAACCAGGCGTCCCTTGGTTCCCTTCTTACAGATTACAGGAAATATATGCAGAGAAGTTAGGTAACCTGCTCAAAGTTACACAGGTAAACAAATGAAGGCCCTGGGCTTTACCCTCAGCTCTGGCTAACTCTCGAGCCTGAACTTGTGCTTCAGGAGTTTAAAGAAAGGAGTGAGCCCTCCCCGGCCACAGCACCTCCTCATACCCTAGCCTCACCCAGAAAACTTGTCTTTCTGTAGCTTCCAGTCTAGCTCATTCAGCCTTTGATACGTGGCCTCAGGAGCCCCTGTCCTCCGACTGTCTCCTGACTACTCTCTGGGCTCGAGATGGTGTCAGGGTCCCCTGAGCAGGCAGCTCAGCCCCTTCCTTGGCCGGTCCCATCTCTGATAGCTCCCACAGGCCCGGCTGCCTCTCCACAGGCTGGGCCAACACCAGTGCCTCCTTGCTCTGTTCTTCCCCTTAGCAGAACGCCTTCTCCCGGCTGCACCCACCACTACTGGACCATCTTCAAACTCACATGCAGCAACCTTTTTGATGACCCAACCCCATCTCTACTCCATTAACTCCCGGGGTCTGTATTCTCTGGTCCACTTCACCTACAGGGTGGTATGGTAGACAGGGTAGGAGTTATAGGATCTAGTTTAGAGTCCTGGCTCTGCCACTTTCTAGCTAACTGGCTTTGAATAAAACACTCCTGTAGAGCCTTAGTTTCTTCAGCTATAAAACAGAAATGGTCAGACACATGCTATGCCAGCCCCGCACGTAGATGAAATGAGCCCAGGGTTATGAAGGCACTCTGTACGAGCCCGATAATCAGAAAAGTGCCAACCACAGTAGTCACAGGAGCAGTGGCAGCGGTAGTGGTATGGGACACATACCTCTTTCATCCTCGTGCTAGTCCTGAGCAGTACTACCTCCATTTTACAGAAGAGAAGATGGGGGCTCAGTGAGGGGCAGTGCAAGGCGTTCCATCCACCTGTGCCTTTGTGTCCTGGAGGAGGGTGTGCCCAGGCTGTGTAATCTATGGGAGCAGGTGCTAGAGGGACCCTTGGGACTAGCCCAGAGGTGGTATAATGCTTGCTGACTAAATGAATTAATTGTTGGTCTTTCTGGAATCACAAGGAGGAAAAAACAGATACTTTGATTTCCATTTTACAGAGAAGAAGAGTGAGGCCTGGACCCAAGTCTCAATACTCCCAGAGGTCATTATCTACCTGTGGGTGAAGAAGGCTTCCTCTCTCTTCTTAACCCCTCTCCTGGGAGCCTTCTCAATCTGTGCAGCAAACAAGCTCTGAGCCAGGTACTGGGCTAAAGAAAGGTCTGTGCCATTTAGGCGAGCGCTGCTGTGTGGGATGGGAGCCCTGGGAGAAGTGCGGGAAGAGCCATTGTGCCCAACTGACACCTGCCAGGATGATGAGGGGCCACTGCCAGGCAGGCTACGTTCCAGACAGAAAGACCCATTGTGTGCAAAACCAAAGTGAGAGGAGACAGCTCCCTCCTCCTCCCATCCCAGGCCTTTGCCTCCGTCCAGCTCCAGGTTCTGAGGCCATCTGGGTGGGCTCACTCCTCCTTCCTGGTAAGTTCTAGTGATCTGGTGTGGGAGGGTTTTTTAGCCTAACATGTTTGTCACATGTTTGTCCCATGCTTGTGGCATCTCTTAGGGGAACCAGTCCTTCAGAGGAACTCTTGTGGTTGAGTCACGTGAACATCTTTAGCAATCTCCTGTCTATAGCTTGTAGGTTCGGCGAGCATAGCAAGTGCTCAAGAAGTGCTTGCTGTCAGAATGGGTACTGACTGGAGCCTCAGGTTGGTAGGATGAGAGAACAGTTCTCTTCTTAGTCTCTAAGGATTAGTGTTTCTGAAGGCAAACTATTGCTACTGAGTGGTTACATATAAACAATGCAAACAGCTTTTGCTGAACACCCTCCACCCCAGGTGTGTGTGTGCTGGGGCAGGAATTACTGGAAGGAAGAGCACCACCCTTCCAGGAGGAGGCTGGGATGAGAATCTGTGTCGGAGAGAGGCTGAATGTCAAGAGGGGCTCAGGCTTCATTCACTCCAGTTTAGCACACACGCCTGTGTGCCCAACCCTGGGGAAATGCTGAACGAGAGGTAGTTCCTGACCTTTGGAGAGAGACATTCAAAGAGATGTCCTGTGGTAAGTGCAGTGATGAAAGGTGTCCATGGGAAGCCCCAAGAAGAGGCCCTGTGTCCTGGCGGGGGACTAAGAAGGCTTTCTGGAAAAGGCCTGGGTCTTGAGTATCTCTGCAGGCCAGGGAAAGGGCAGGATGGTCTGGACAATGAGAACATATGAAGTGGTATGGGGTGGAGGTGGGACTGCAAGCAGTTTTCTAAATTAATCACCGTCACGCCATGACTCAGGGATGGCCTGGATGTATATCTCAGCTCAGAAACAGGACTCTGAGGGGGGTCCAGAAAGAGGCAGGCCTTGGGCAATTACAGTTCTGGACTGTCAAAAATGGAAGTAAAGCATGAAATAGCCCACTGTGTGCCACGTGGCTGATGCTGAGATTCTGAATTCAGAATTCTGATTCTGAAGGCCAGATCCCAGCAAGGAGGATCAGTTGTGATGGCTGAGCTTTCCTGAAGGAATTCATGGGCTTCAGAGTCAAGTGGGAACAGGTGCAATGGGTGTTGGTGATAAGCCCCTGGTTAGAAGGAGCTGCAGGGAAGCTTCCAGGTGTGCAGGCTAACCCAGAGCGGGGCTGGGGAATGGCTTGTCCACCTGAGGGGTCAAAGGTCAAGTAGTGTAAGTGTTACTATTTCAATATACTCATGTTCCTAGTATGCTTGTGAGCTACTAGAGGGCAGGCTTACAGCTTCTCTCCTTTCCTCAGAGCGCAGAGATGGACAGGGGCCCAACCAAATTACTTCAACAAACAAACAGTCATGGTCTCTGCTCTCAGGAGTCTACAGTCTATTGCTCCTGAACTGAGTTAGGCTAAGTAAAAACCAGCCAGAGTGTGGGACATGGGGTCGGGAAAGGGCCAGAAGAAAAGTTATTCCAAGCAGAGAGGGCAGCAGGGCAGTGCCCACAAATGCAAGCAGATCAATACAGCACGTCCAGGGAAGCAGAAGTAGCCCGGTGTGCGTACCGGCCAGGGGGGCGGGGCGCCAGCACGGGTGGGCCTTGTACCCTGGTCTATGGCAGCAAGAGCCACCCAAAGATTTTAGACAGGAGAGTTTTCACATTTTACAAAGCTTACTCAGCTGGGGAGGAGAAATGATTACAGGGGAACAAAAGGAGGCAGGGAGACCAGGGAGGAGGCCATTACATGGTTCAAATGGGAGATCCTGAGGTCCTGAGCAAGGGCTGTGGTATTAGGAAAGGAGGGGAGAGGCCAAGTTTGAGACCCATTTAAGAGGCAGAATGCTAGAACCTGATATGTGACGGGCTGTAAGGGGTGAAGGAGAGGGAGGAGCCAAGGAATTGTCTTAAGTTTTTATTTAGGAGACCAGGTGAATGGTGGTGCCTTTACTGAGGTAGGAGCACAGGAGGTGGGTTAGTAGGAAGAAGGGGGTGGAGTCTAGCCCTGAATGTGCTAAATAGACAGCTGGTTGCTTTTCTGAGAATGGTGGGATGTAGAGGCTCTGAGCTCCCAGGAGGTCGGACCAATGGGCTAGGTGTCCTCCCTCTCCCATGACTAAGAGTAGCTCTGGATTCTGGAAGGAGACCCTCACTTTCAATGCCAACGCTCTGGCTTGTGGTATGTATGCTGGCCTTGCTTTGGCTCCAGTGACCCTAGAAGACCAGAGAGGCCATGGGGCATAAGCTAAGGGGTTGGTGCTTTATCTCCTCCATTTGTAAGGCAGTAACTGTGCGCCAGCCTTGCTAGAAGCCCTGCAGCTGGGGATCACACTGATAAATTCACTGTATTACTTTGCACAAATCAATATCCCAGCACTTACCAGGGGTTGATGTGACCGAAATTGGTTTCAGCCAATTCGTGTGGGTAATAAATGGCCATTTATCAAATCAATTCATTCTGCGGCACTTCTCTGGCTGCCCATCCTCATGGTACCCCTGGGGTGCCAGGCTCCACCCAGCCAGTCCCTAGCATATATCTGATGCTAGCCTAGAGAATCGAGAGAGGCCCGGCCTACCCCTCTGGATCCGCCTCTCTCTCCTGCACCTGCTTCAGTCTAGAGACCTTGAGGCACTGGCTGCGGCTTGCTTACCACAAATTCTGACCCGGAAAGTAACTCATGCTTCACCTAGGTTGGTAGGTGAACATTACCTGATCATTATCAGTGTGATCACCAGCCACAGAGTTCTCAGCTAGGCGGATATACAATTACCACCATACAAATGGAGCAGATATACCAAGCCCACAGCTCAGGCCCTAATACCTGTCTGTCTTTTCTAGGGTCACTGGAAACCCAGCAGGGTCAACCTACCTGACACAGGACAAGGCGTAGGGCCTTCCTGATCCGAGGCAGAGTTTGGGTAACAGAATGGAGCTCTGGGTAGAGGGAAACTCTCAGGGCAGACATTCCGACAGCCCCTCGGAGGTGGGCAGCTGGATCATTTACTCCTGCTCTGGGTCAACGACAAGGAGAGACAACGTGGGTGGTACTTCAGAGGTCGGTATAGGATCAGAGGAAGAGGCCAGCCTGGGGCTGGGACTATGGATCAGTCTTGGCTTGAAGGAAATAACTGTGGGCCTGATCTACAGAACATGCCCAACCCTGGATGGTAAACATCCTGAGGACAGAGACTAGAAAGAGCATGGGCTGTATTGTGAGAGCCTCACCCAGCTCACAGGTGAGGAGACTGGCACTCAAAGAGGCCGAGTGAGTAGCCAGAGTTGCACGGCTGTTAAGTGGAAGACCTGCCCTCAGACCCACGTTGGTCTAATTCTCTCCATCCCAAGTCCTCCTCCCTGCTCCCTCCGACTTCTGGGAGCTTCACATCTTACGGGCTTGAGAGGCCGGGGAGAAGCAGGAGGTGAGAGGAGCAGGCAGCCGGCTGGGAAAGGGCCGTGTAAGAAGCAGAGGGAAAACACTATGATGGCAGCGGCAGTGCTGGCCCTTGTGGACAGGAAACTCCAACAGGAGATGCTTTCTGAGCTCTCCGCCCACATAATGTCTCTCCGCCCACGTAATGTCTCTCCCATGGGCAACTCCTCTCTTCAACCCCCAAGAGCTCCCAGGGTCTCTCCTCCCTCCACCTCAGCCACAGCCTTGGCAAAGAAGTGCACGGCTGCCACCCTCAAGGTGGTGGCTGAGAGTGGATGTCTGTATCCAGACACAAAAGGGCAGCCTAGTGTGGTTTGGGCCTGAGTAGTGGGGCCTGTGTGTTCAAAAAAGCTTTCCTCAGCTCCTGTGTGTGGCTACAGGCAGCCTTCTGACCTCTGGCTGGTGAGGCAGCTCTGGTCGTGGACTCCTTTTATCTGCTGCTGAGGTCAGGCCCCTGATGAGGGGCTCATGACCGCCGTATGAGTCCTACTGGTGTGTGAGGAGGATGGAGATCAGGCCGGGCTTGCTGTGTCGCAGGGGTGGCTGCCTTCATTTTTCAATTACTACTCTAATTGGTGTCCTAGGGCTGAAATGCCGTTCCATGTCCCAGAGGGGTACCACAATACAGCCTGATGTCTTCTTTTATCAGTGAAGCTCTATCAGATGCTGTCTTTCGCAGTATTGGACCGCATCTGGTGGGACCAAATGCTTCGAGAGAAGGGGTAAGCAACATGAATGGGACCGAGACACTGTAGGGCAGAGGTTTTTAAACTTGAGCTGAGCATCAGAATCACCTGCGGGGCCTGTTAAAACACAGATTGCTGGGCCCTACCCCAGAGTTTTTGATTCCATAGAGGTTCGGGGTGAGGCCTGAGATCTGCAATTCCAACAAGGTCCCAGAGGATGTTGATGCTGCTGGTCCAAAGACCATGGTCTGAGAACCACTGCCTTAGGGGATACCTTGTTTAAGCTGGGCATGGGTTACTCTGCCCCTGCCTCATCTGTCTGAGGTCCACATTCAGAGAGTCATGCACCCGAGTCACAGAACAGAGGTGAGCCCACCACCTTGAGCAGAACCTTAGTTTTATATTCTCTCTAGTGGGGTCCGCATGGGTAGGAGGGCAATTAGAGTAGGGGTTACACCAGAGAGCAGTCTGGCTCCTAGTATGGGACACAAGAGCTTCTAGGGTCGAGAAAAAGGTACTTAAGACTTGTTCAGAATGTTTTCCCTAAAATTGAGCCAGTTGTTGACAAACTATACTGAAGAGTGGCAGAGTTCCAGGATGGGAGACAAAAGATAGAAGTTTTAGTTCTGGCTGAGTTGCTACATTACAAGTGATGGACAACCTCCTGTTCTCTGGGTCTTAGTCTGCCCACCTGAAAGGTGGGGGATGGGGACAGTGGACCAGATGAAGTTCAGAGAGCACAGGAAAGCAGCCTGAGCGATTATTATAAGTGCTCTGTATCTCAGCCTCCTCATCTGTAAAACAGGGATTTGGGGCGCCTGGGTGGCTCAGTCGGTTAAGCGTCTGCATTCGGCTCAGGTTATGATCTCAGGGTCCTGGGATCAAGCCCCGTGTTGGGCTCCCTGCCCAGCGGGGAGTCTGCTTCTCCCTCTCCCTCTGCCCCCCACTCATGCTGTCTCTCTCTCTCAAATAAATAAATATCTTAAAAAAAAGGGGGGGATTTAATGGTACTAACCTCACGGGGTTGTTATAAGGACTAAACGACAACATATGTGAAGAGCTTATCACAACGCCTGGCACACAGAAAGTACTCAACACATGTTAAGTTGTAATAGCCACCTCTGCACGGTACGGTGACAGCAGGATGTACACCTCACTGCAGCAGACCACGAGCCAACCCGCCCTCTTTTGGTGCTGCCTGGCATCCTGATACTCACCAGCACCCACTGTGGCGATGGCACTCTCCTGGCCAATGATGTGCTCCTTCAGCCGCTGCTCCAGGGGAAAGCGGCGCCGCTCCTCCGCCTCACGCTTCCGTTGCTTCTCCTGGTACTGTGGGGGGAAAGAGAAGGTGGCTCAGGAGTACCGGGCCCAGAAGGATCGTTTCATTCTACACTATAACCCAGGGGCAAAAAACATAGGTCTGGGGCTCCAGGGGTCCTGATGCACACTCTGGCTCCTGGCCACTGAAGGCTGGCTCAGTCCTTCCCACGTCCCTTTGTCCTAGGCCTCACCTTAGGTGGCCACTGCTCAGGAGTCCTGGCTCAACCTGCTAGTAAAATAAAGTACTGCTAGTAGGTTAACCCTTGACTCTGGAGTCTGACAAAAGACCTGGGTTTGAATCCCAGCTTTATCACTTACAAGACGTGCTTATTATCTGGAGCAAGTTACTTCCTCTCAGTTTTCTCATCTGTAAGTTGGGGATTAAATATGATGATGTTCATAATGAGCTGGCATGCAGTATAAGTGCTTAACAAATAGAGGTTCTTTCTTTCACTTATCCTCTTGAAAATCTTTTTGGTTTTTACTCTCTCTCTCTTTTTTTAATGTAAGTTCTATGCCCAACATGGGGCTTGAGCTCATGACCCTGAGATCGAGAGTCACACACTCCACCGACTAAGCCAGCCAGGTGCCCCGAAAACCTTTTTGGTTTTTAAACCAGAGCTATGAACACCCTCCACTTCAATGATATTGCATTTCAATTAAACACAATTATTCTGCAATTGCCATGTGTCTGGCCCTGTGCATGCCATGATGGAAATGGTAGGGTGGGAAGAAGGAGGAGGACTGGAACCTAGGGGGTTCTAGTAGCTGCTGAGTGCCTGGTGTGTATCTGGCCCTTGGCTTGTTGGTCCGCTTTAGAAAAGGCAGAAGGAAGGAGACCTGAGTGTGATCACACTACAAGGGAAGAGAGGAGAGCCAGTCCTGCCCTCAGGGAGCTCTAAGTTGGACAGGGAGGTGAGGCAGGGCTTGTACACAAATACTTCTCAGGTGGTTATCAACCATTTTCCTCCAAAGCATGCATGCCTATTTCTACCTTGTACCTATCACTAAAAAACAAAAAAACAAACAAAAACTTCCCACTATTGAAAACAAATTTGTTGGGGCACCTGGGTGGCTTAGTCAGTTAAGTGTTCGACTCGACTTCAGTTCAGGTCTAGATCTCAGGGTCGTGAGTTCAAGTCCCACATTGGACTCCCTGTGAGTGTGGAGCCTGCTTAAAAACAAAAACAAAACAAAAACCAAATTTGTTCCATGTTTTTGAATCTGTCCTCTAAATCAATTATGAGCTGCCTGAGGGCAGGCACTATCTTTTACTCACTGCAGAAGTACTGGCACTGTGAAGGCAGCTGGTGAATGTTTGCAAAATAAATCTGGTGACAGATAAGAAGAGAGAATTAACAGCTAAACCGGGTGGCATAGAAGTCCAGAGAAGGGAAGGATACGCAAAGCCAGGAACATTGTGGAGAGGCTTCTGGGTGACTGGAGGCTTGAAGAAGCTGTACTACTGGCTTAGGCAGGGGATGTGGGACTATCTGGAGGCCAGGCAGGGAGCATGAGTGTGCAGGTCTGATGATAAAGTGCTCATGGAGCCAGGTGGATGGGGGAAGGAAGCAGGACTTGGAGTGGGACAGAAAGACCTGGATCTTAGGGAGGCTCCTTTCCCTTAGGACCCTGTAACACTGACAGTTTTCTAGAAAGAGAGCTGCCAAGGTAAGGCCCTGTCACAAAAGTTGTGGCTGCAGATTGCTCTTGCAGGCAGAGTGGATGAAAAATACCTGCTGCTTGGGCAGTGTTTTCCTGTTACAGTAGTGACCTTGACAGAAGTTAAAAAAAATAAATAGCAAACAATCCAATTTTGGCTGTTGCTATCAGTCTGTAACTGAAAGCTCCCATCAGTCCTGGGTTTCATATGGAGCAATAATTCGGCGCCAATCCCAGTGGAGCGACGCTTGCCGGTTGGAATCCAGAGTGTCACTGTGCTGCTCCCTCAGGCACCACATACATCACCTGGCTCTGATGACTCCACCATATATCTGCCTCCTCCTCTTCCCTGCCCACCCAGCCCCTCTCAGCACTTGGGTCCATTGGGCTGGAAGGCTCTGATGGGGAGATGCACACATCCTGCCTGGTCCCACACGGCTAGCAGCCTGGCCAGCTTGGAGTCAGGCAGGCCACGAAAGCAGCTTGAAGCAATGGAAGCTGGCTGCCGAGGGTTTGCTGGGTCTGCTTCCTAACTTGCCCTCAGTGATAGGTCTCAGACTCTTCCTGCCTCTGGGCCTTTGCTCACACTGCTCCCTCACCACAAAGTTTCCTCTATTCCCATCTACCTCTAAATGCCCTGGTGATCTCAACTTAAATACCACATTGTCTAAGGAGACTGGTGTAAGGCTTCATGCCTGCCCTTGGCACCTCCAGAGCATTTATTTAACTGCCTGTTTGTCTCTCCTTCTCAACCATGCAGTCCTCAGTGACAAAGGCCAAGTCTTATTCAGGTCCACAGCTCTATGACACAGCACAGGACCTGGCACCCAGGAGTCAATGCATGCTGCCAACTGAATGAAGTTAACTACTGGTTGTGGAACCACTCGCTGAGTGCCAGGCACCGTACAAAGGCACTGCACTTTACATACAGTGTCTCCTTTAAGCCTCACAGTTGTCCCTGTGGGAAGTTTGGCTCCTCTTTTGGCTCACAGTGGGGCAAATTGTATGGCAGAGATAAGTGGCTTTGCTCCAGACAGACCTGAATTCAAACCTCACCTCGTCCACCCTCTGGCGAGCTGACCCTGGGGAAGTTAATTCACCTCCCTGAATTTTCATTTCCTCATCTCTAACATGGAGACAGTGAACTCACACCACCTTGCAGGATCCTGGTGGGATGCTGGTGAGGATTAGGTGCGATAATATACACAAAGAATGTGGCAGAGTCTCTGGCCCAGAGCAAATGTATAGGCAGAAGTGGTGGTGTGAGGGACTCAAGTGGACAGCACAGGAGCTGGCCCCTGACAGGCCTTTGGTAAATGTTACTTCTCTCCTCCTTCACTGCATTTTGATAATTATCTAACCCAGTGCTTTTTTGGAGGATGAGGTGGGGGCACTGGAACCCTTTTACCTAATTTAAGCTGTATGGGCTCCACAGATGAAGAATTCTCTGGCTCAAGCAGAATCTAGGAGCCTAGTCCACTTAGATGTCCCCACTGCCCAGAAATGGCTCCTTCCTGAAGAAGCCTAGGTCTGAGGGTACCATCTCAATACCAACTGGGTCCTGGGGACACCTCCACTGCACAAGGCAGCTCATCTCTGCCTGTCGGTTTTCCTTATGTGGTAGAGAATTCTGCCTCTAGGTGCTTTCCATGCACTGATCTATGGGGCCTCTTAGAACATATCTTTTTCCTCTGTCATAGGCAAACATGACTTTTCTTGCCACTCTGTTGGTTTGGGTATAAACACTTTGGTCTCCCTAAGTCTTCTTCAGGGAAATTTTTTATCTCCTATAACTCTTCGGTGTCATGATTTTAGGTGGTTTTAGTATTCCTGTTATTTTCTTGGGCAAGGAGAAAGGGGCCTTAACTTCTACGGGGGTGAGTATGGGGGAAAGGTTGTACTGTGATCTGGCTGGTTTCTTTTTCTTTTTTTAATTAATTTTTTTTAAAAAGACTGTATTTATTTATTTGACAGAGAGAGACACAGCGAGAGAGGAAACACAAGCAGGGAAGAGTGGGAGAGGGAGAAGCAGGCTTCCCGTTGAGCAGGGAGCCCGATGTGGGACTTGATCCCAGGACCCTGGGATCATAATCCGAGCCGAAGGCAGACGCTTAACAACTGAGCCACCCAGGGGCCGAAGGAGACTCTCTGCTGAGCAGGGAGCCTGATTCTGGACTTGATCCCAAGACCCTGGAATCATGACCTGAGCTGAAGGCAGACTCAACTGACTGAGCCACCCAGGTACCTTTTTCTTTTTTTTTTTAATTTAAAGATTTATTTACTTATTCTGGGGGGGGTAGGGTGAGGAGCGCATGAGTGGAGGGAGGAGCAGAGGGAGAGGGTAAGCAGACTCCTCGCTGAGCATGGAGCCTGACCCGGCCCCATCCTGTAACCTCAAGATCATGACCTGAGCTGAAATCAAGAGTCAGATGCCCAACTGAATGAGCTATCCAGGCACCCCTGGCTGGTTTCTTAGGAGCTTAGAGTGTCCTGGGAAAGATCCAACCTGTGGCCTTAATCTAGGCATATCCTGATTCTCCCCCTACCTGGAACCCCAAATATCTATTCAGAAAAACTTCTGAAAAGGATCAGACTTTTTTTTTTTCCTTAAAGATTTTATTTATTCAGGGCGCCTGGGTGGCTCAGTTGGTTGGGCGACTGCCTTCAGCTCAGGTCATGATCCTGAAGTCCCGGGATCGAGTCCCGCATCGGGCTTCCTGCTGCTCGGTGGGGAGTCTGCTTCTCCCTCTGACCCTCTCTCCTCTCATGTGCTCTCTCTCTCTCTCTCATTCTCGCTCTCGCAAATAAAATCTTTAAAAAAAAAAAGATTTTATTTATTCATTTGACAGAGACACAGCGAGAGAGGGAACACAAGTAGGGGGAGTGGGAGAGGGAGAAGCAGGCTTCCTGCTGAGCAGGGAGCCCGATGCGGGGCTCGATCCCAGGATCAATCAGGACCCGAGCCGAAGGCAGACGCTCAACGACTGAGCCACCCAGGTGCCCCTGGATCAGACTGTTTGATAAAAATGTACAGGATCCTGGGATTAAACCAGGTTAAAGGTTACTGCTTTATGCTCTTTTCCAAATGCTTAGCACAGTTTGTATTTTAAAAAAATGTGTTGAATGAATGAATGGCTTCTTAAGGCATTAGCTATGAGCCCAGGCTTGTGAAAAGCTAGCTAATGGAAGAACCTAGGAAAGGAAAATACTTGGTCTGTATATATTCTATTTGGGGGAGGAGAGAAAGATGGGAGAAGGCACTTGGTAAGTCTCCTACTACTGTTCCTGGCTTTTTTTTTTTTTTTAAAGATTTTATTTATTTATTTGACAGAAAGAGACACAGTGAG